CAGTGAAGTGTTACAGGTAGCAGTTCACAAAGACACCCCCCCCCCCTCTCCCCCCATACATCCGAATGTTTTCTTTGCATGGGCCTGGATACTAAAACAGTTATGTTTTGGCACTGTCAGCTTTATCCAGTGGCATCTTATCTGTGCAACAAGTGTTGGCCGAAATGAGATTCACCCACAAATATTTTGTTCTCTCATAGGCTTTAGCAGATCTATATAAGTGCCATATGTGGAGACAGAACATATGACACATGTCTAGGGACAAGCAAACAAAGAAATTACATGTAATTTTCAGACCATACAAACATTACCAAAGAATTTTTTTTTTTAAAGTATATAAAATAAAATAACAATTAAGCTACTTCCAAGACACATTCGTAAACAAAGAAACACAACAACAAAATTAACAAACCAGATCTAAAAATATTAACTCAAAACTCCAAGAGAAAATTAACTCGGGTTCTGCAATACTTTTATTTTTTTTTAAAAATGAAAATTAACAAACTAGCTTAGTGACTCAATCACCCAAAACTATTTAAAAAAACTGACTGCTTCTGTAATACATTTGTAATTAGATCTTCCCCCCACACAGTATTTATCTTAGTCATCAGGAAATGTTCATAATTCCAAACTGGTGTGGAGAATATCAAATAAAGCTGGGCTAAAATGTTTGCTCATAATGGTGAACTCCCTGCCAGAGTATGAGAACAGATATGCAAAGACTGATGTCTGACTGTGAGGATGATGGCAGATGAATATGATAAACACTAATACTCATAAACTAATCTCATCAATTCACTTGCCTCAAAGGGACTTTACAGAATATAGACCAGATTTTAATGTTCTTTGTTGCTCCATGCTGCATAGGTAACAATTTAACTCTCACTAGCTGAAAGAAATGGCAGGTCACGGTTGGCCTGCTGACCAGATGGCGTTAAAATGTTGCCAGATCATAGATGACTGGTACCTTTCTGGATGACATGCTCTGCTTCAGGTACAGCATTCTTGTCTTGCCCATAATAAAACTGTGGATATGTGTCAAACGGGAGTTGCCGCGGCGGAGCGGCTAGACGCTCGCTGCGGATCGGAAGGTCGTGGGCTCGCTCCCTGGTGGAGCCAGACTTTTTTCAAAAATGACCTTGGCTCCTAGGTCTACCCAGCATTGAGTGGGTACCAGGTGCAGTCCCGGAAAGTAAAGGCGGCCGGCGTGATGCTGACCACATCACCCCATCTTGTGCCGATGGGTCTATAAAAATATAGGTCTAGCCCTATATGCCTAAAGGCATGGAAGAGGGTCCTTTACTTTTACTTTTTTTTTTTTTATGTGTCAAACATCTGCTAGTCAAAAATATTCGGAAAAAACACAAAACTGAAGATCTTCAACTCGTGTGGGATTCCAGATTCCAATGGTGAGGGTTGGAAAGCAGCAGCAGCTGTTCTATTTTTATAAACAATTTTTTTTTACAATTGTGAGTACAAATGTCTTCGAAGAATACATAATCTCCACTGGACAGATTTCAGACCCAATAAGCAAATCAGACAAGAGACCAAGCAAGACAATGTATCCACTGTTATAAGAAAGCGTCATTGGAATTACACTGGTGATGCACTCTGGATAAGACCAGACTCCTCCATCAAGCGCCCCCCCCCCCCCCCCCCCCCCAATATGGACGCTGGAAGGGAAAAAGAAAACGGGAAAGACCAAGAAAGACCCTGCGTAAAACCAACATCAGGGAAGGTTCTGACAAAAATCCAAGACATAAAACAGGTGGCAACGAACTGCCAAACATGGAGAGCTATGACCTCTGCCCTATGTGCCACCCTAGGCTCAAGAGAAAAGACTAACTGACTGACTTACGAAACACATACAAATTAAGACACTGGCTGAATAACATAAACTAACAAAACTTAAATTTCAACACACTTTACAATAATAACATATGTACAGACATTTTTTTACAAGATCTAAGAAAACAATTACGAAGAAAACACTGGTTCCAAGCTGAATTTACAGAATTAATTCTTCCACATACAAAACCCAAGATAGTTCAAAATGACATTTTAAAACCAACAAAACTCCTAAACATAAGAAATTAACCTTGGTTTTGTGACATCATCATCATGTAACAGGTTCTTTGCAGAATTTTGCTCTCATCACGGTCTGCCTGAAAGAAACCCAACTCTCGCCAGCTCTCCCACTTCATGCACTTTCATATTCCTGTGCCTATCTTCATGTTGGTCAGTCCCTGCCCCAACTTCATAGTACCATGCATTCTGCTATTATTATTTTCAGTCAGCAATGGCACTTGATATGACCAAAATATTTCAGCATATTTCAGCTTCCAAAACAAGATACTGTTTATTAGCCAATCTTCCTTGATGTTCAGATCTTTTAAAATGTCAGTATTTCTTCTCGTCTTTGTCAATAGTATTCTGAGAATCTTTATAGAATTTCAGCTCAAAAGCCGCCATTTTCTTTCTTAAGGACTGGGAGATAGGCCACAAGTCAACATCTGTATGTTGCTACAGGGAAGATGCATTTCCTTGCTGGTGCTTAACCACAGACTTTTAATGGTGTTTAATGCATTGCAATGGCCATCGTCCATTTGATTTCTGTCAATCTTTAATGCTATTAATTATAGAGCCTAAATATTCAAAGTTTCTGATATATTTTTTGGAGCCTAGATTTTCAAATTTTCTGACATTTTCAATTTCTTCATCATTTATTGTTATCTTTGGGCGACAGCCAGTTTTGTCTGCGGACATTATTTTAATTTTCTGTAAATTCAAGAAGAGGTTTTGATCTTCACTGTGTTTTTGTGGACAGACATGGTTACATTTTCTATTCCTTTTACATTGTTCGAAAGGTTTTGTGACACATTTAAAAAATAAAAAGAATTACAAATTAACAAGCCAGCACAGTGACTTATCTACATAGATAAGTCACTGACTGAACTGACACGCTCATTTTTGTGTCTAAATTTCTCTCTCTCTCTTTTGCCATATTACACTTTGTACCACTAGGCTTAGCAGGTTAAGAGATGATCAGTATCTGTATCAGGGCACACTGGGTTGCTGTGTATGCTATGTTGTTGTGGAGTCTCAAGCTATCGGTGAGATGATCAGTATCTGTATCAGGGCACACTGGGTTGCTGTGTATGCTGTGTTGTTGTGGAGTCTCAAGCTATCGGTGAGATGATCAGTATCTGTAACAGGGCACACTGGGTTGCTGTGTATGCTGTGTTGTTGTGGAGTCTCAAGCTATCGGTGAGATGATCAGTATCTGTATCAGGGCACACTGGGTTGCAGTGTATGCTGTGTTGTTGTGGAGTCTCAAGCTATCAGAATCTGAGTCAAGGCACACTGGGTTGCTGTGTATGCTGTGTTGTTGTGGAGTCTCAAGCTATCGGTGAGATGATCAGTATCTGTATCAGGGCACACTGGGTTGCAGTGTATGCTGTGTTGTTGTGGAGTCTCAAGCTATCAGAATCTGAGTCAAGGCACACTGGGTTGCTGTGTATGCTGTGTTGTTGTGGAGTCTCAAGCTATCAGAATCTGAGTCAGGGCACACTTGGTTGCTGTGTATGCTGTGTGGTTGTGGAGTCTCAAGCTATCAGTGACTCCTTCAATCTATCTTCTTCCTAGTCCTAACCTACCTACCTTTGCGTGTTTCTATTTGGTGTTAATATTTATAAAAGATGACAGTAAAATTGTGGCTCAAGCTTCTCTAAACGATACAAACAAGATGTATGTGGAAATTAATAGCCATTCTCTCAATGTTGCATACCTGTATACGGTTTATTAAGAAAACATGTTTTGGAGATTCTTGGTGGTTCATGCTGGAGTTAGGGAATTTGTGCTTTGTGAGATACTTTAGCCAATGTGCGAGAGGTGCCAAGCTATTTGAGATAAAACCCAGTGCAATGAAGCTATCCCACTAACCTCTGAATATCTTTACTGACACAATAATCATTCTTTGATTATTTAAGAACTGTCTTTCTGAACAAAATCTACAGTAATATTTGACAGAGTTGTTCAGTTATGTAAATCTTTAGCAAAATACAACAAATCTTTACAAAATCAACAACAATCTTTACAAAAGCAAAAGCTCATTCACTGTTTTGTTAGGAAACTTTTACAACTAAACAAAAAAAAAGCTCACTGATGTTTTGTTAACAAAATATAATATTTACAAGGGCTAATTAACTGTTTAGTTAAATATAATGTTTATAAAAACTCACTTTGTTGGCAAAATATAACAACTGTTTGCAAAGGCTAATTATGTTTGGTAACTATTTTAATAAGTCATTACAGAGACCAATTAAATGTATAGTTAACAAAATATAACAACTGTTTACAAAGGCTAATTAAATGTTTAGTCAACAGATATAACAACTGTTTACAAAAGCAATATAACAATTGTTTACGAAAGCTTAGTGACGGTCCCACCACGTGTGCATGACAATGTTTGCAGAGGCGATCACAATGGAACAAGTCAATTCAAAATAAGATAAACAGAATATACAAATTAGCCCTACTCTATGCTCTGAATGGGTTGAAAGCATTCTGAAGTCGCAGTTAACCTCCATCATCTGGATCTACACACTCCAGTATACAGGAGAAAGTGGTAATGAACGAGCTGACCAGCTGGCAAGTAATGCCCAATGCCAGTGGAAAGAAGCATGGACAGAGATGATATCATCAAGGCTGTAGGGACCAGGTTGGGGAATAATGTTGAATCTCTGAGGCTACAATGATTGTGTGACCGAGGAGTTAAGCCTGGTGAAGCATGTCTATGCCATCTTCAAGGCAAAGACAGGAGATACCATAACCAACTTCTCATGGGAACAATCAGGAGAGGTACCTTGGAGCGGATGCTGCATCCGAGGACTGAGCATGCATGAGAGTGCCCAATGTGCAAAGACGATTGTGATAACATAACATGTTACCTTGTGACTGACTACCAAGGATTGCATGATTCTATTCACAAAGCAAAATGTTTACAGTTTCGAACAAGGTTTGTCCTTGAATGTGACTGAAGAGATGTATGCCACAGTGTCCTCCCGTTTGACCACAAAATGGAGAATGGTGGGGGACAGGTCATCTTCCCACACAGTGGTAATCAGTTCCTCACCAGCCAGAGTCTCCCCTGTGTATGCAGTACTCATTTTCACAATAGGATACAGGCAGATGTCATGGGTCAAACGGTGCAGAACTTTTGCTCTTCTGGCTAGTTCTGCAGCATCTAGGCAAAATCTGGAAAATAAAAGCAGATTATGAGATGAGGGTGTCAATAAATTGTTACAATGAGGTTTACAATAATTACTTCCACATGTGTATACCATATCTATCTTATTACCAACTGTTATTGTTGAATGTTGAATTAAGTATCGACATCACATCACTCGGACACTCCCATAAGCGTTCCGTCCAAATCTTCAGCAGCAAGCTACAAATTCCAATTCAAAAGGCACCAGTAACTGTCTGATTGTATATCCATTTTGCCTTTACCTTGAGTGCTAAGCGTCGGCCATATCCCCTGGTAACCCCTCGCAGCAGTATTCTACTAAGAAAGTAAGGATCTGTCTGTGCCTCTGCACTGTTCACTAGCTCCCAAAGGGCCCTCAAAACATCCAGCTTGTCATACATCAATTCACCACCAAGTGGTGCAGAACTGACCAGAAACCAACTGTTAGAAATCATTCAAAGAACAACAACTCCTGAGGGAGAGAAATACTGCAGGTCCAGACGGTAACTCAGCAGAAGACCACCCATGCGCAGTACAAGACAATGTCTCTTCGCCTCTCTTGCTCAAGCCTATCTCACCTTTATATGCTGGACTCTGTCCTCCCCAGTAATCCAGTGAAAAGTTAGGGTTTCAGCAGGAAAATGGATGAGACACCCACACAAACAAAAAAAAAAAAAAACAGGTAAAAGTGAAATCTGGTTCCACTGACCAGCTACTGAAATGAGTACATGGTGCAATACTGTGAGCTGTGGAATTCATCTGGAAAGCCGTTCATCTGTGCACCTAGCATTTGTGTTGTAAACTGCAGAAATGCATGTACGCCTGCTAGGGTTACCATTACTGCTGCATCAGTCAACACTGGAATGCCACTCTAGCAAACATATATATAGAGGTAATTTTAAGGCACCAGATATCTCCTCTGTCTTGATGGTGCAATACAGTGACATAGGTTTGACCACTCTGAGAGTACACAAATACTATCCTGGACGGCAAGCCCTCAGAACAAATCCCAGATATCCTGTTCCTGATGTATTATGAAAAGTATAAGCAAAGCAGATGAAATATATCTTATATTAATTAATTAGTTTTTCCTCTAGGGCAGCGCATAGGGCAGAAGCCATAGATCTCCATGTCTGGTGGTTCGTTGTCACCTGTTTTAGGTCCTGAATGTTCATTAGGCCCATGGTTGAGCCTTCCCTGATCATGGTTCTATGCAGGGTCTCCCTTGGTCTTCCCCATTTTCTTTTCCCTTCCTGTGTCCCTATGAGGGCTTGAGGGGGGTGTCTATTCTTATCCATTCTGAGTGCATGGCTGGCATAGTTCCAGTGGCGCTTTTTATAAAACTGGACACAGTTACTGCCCTAGGCTCAAGAGGAAAGACTAACTAACTAATCAACTAATCAGTTACTGAACCTGTATTGCTGTATGGCAACAAATTTTGAAATGTGGATGAGCAAATGAGGAAGAGTTTGAAGCCATCAGAGATGAGCGGAGACAAATGTTCCAAATATTTAAAACAAGCAGTGTAAATATCTACCAACCATTGCCCGGAAACAGCCAATGAAAGTAGAAAATTATCATCAACAATAAACAGACTATTATATTTAAGACTGTGTATTGGACACAACAGACTCAGATGTATAAGACATTCATGATTGGGGATTCATAACTGTGCCCATGCTGACAGACACCCACAGAATACCAAACATTTGCTACAGACATGCTCTCTATATGCAGGAGAGATCCCAGGTTAGACCTGCTGGCATTCCAATGGAAACCAAGCTGTATGGAACAGTTGTAGACATATGTCATACCTAAAACTTCACAGAGGCAGAGCTAATAGAAGAAGACATGCAACTATAAGAAAGAGACAGAGTTGTTTATGCAGAAAAGCATAGCTAGCTGTGAGCAGAGAGCAGATCAGCAGCAAATGGGGTAAAAGTAAATAGACACATTATGCCGAAAGGACTAAGAAGGTGGCACATGGGAAATTTCAACAGCCCTGATAAAGAACACCAAGGACCAACATCTGTCGGTGAAAGACACTAAATGCCATCTGGTAAAGTGCAGGATGATGTGATATGCAACAGAAGCATTACAATAATCTTCTTCTTCTTCGCCTTCACCAGCTGTACACTCTGGCGGAAAGTTCTGGTCCAGAACCTGAGTGTTGCATGTGCATCAGTTTTACAGATCTCATTCTCTTGAATGCAGACTGTTGGTTCCTTGCCTCTCCGGCAGATGCACTCCGACTTCAAAGGAAGCTCCCCAATTAGTCGACTCTTACGACATGCTTCTGGGAAGGCAGTGGGTCTATTCTTGTTTTTCCCACAATGGGGCCCAGGAACCCACATGGGGGATTACAAAAATGAAACAAATTAAAAGAAAAGGCATCAACTGTTATTAACTTCTTCTTGTGGGATCCTGGGCTCCATTTTAGAAAACAAAGCACACACCCCCTGCCCTGTAACAAGCGTGTCATAGGAGGTGATTATTTCAGGGCGCCTCCTTCAAAGTAGGAGAGAATCTGCCTGAGAGGCAAGGAACTAACAGTCTGCATTCAAATAAGCCAGATTGTCAAAACAGATGTGCAGGCAAAACTCAAATACTGGATCAGGATCAAAGCCCAGGAATGGACATCACCAAAACTTTGCAGCTGTAGTTTACAGATGGTGAATACTAAGCAGAAAGAGAAGAAGTTAGTACCTGATGTAACTCCCCTGGTTTGTGTGTCCATTGTGGTCAGTATCACTGGCCCCAACCACAGTCTTTGCCTGCAGAGATCAAGAGAAAATTAGAAACACACACAGAAAAACACACACACAGGCTACAACCATGAAAAAGATGTCCTTAATCATCTAAACAGAACACAACAAAGTGACTATTTTTCACTTTCACACTGGACATTGCTGACTCATGAAACACTCATATAAATTAGGTATGAGCTAGTCAGCTCTTTGCCAGTGTCGTTTTGCTGAACAGACTCCAAAATGTCTTGCAAGACTTGTCCTCTCCTGAAGGAGCTGCAAAGTAATATGTGGAAACACCCAGCAGACCTGACAACTAAGCTTTGTTTTGGGGAAACATAAGACACCTCTAGATGATACCCCAGTTTATGGGCCACACTAGATTAAGTGCATGATGAGAGATTGCTGAAGAAGAAAATGCCTTGAGAGAGAGCCACCATGTTTGCTACTGAGATACCTAAAGCCTTGAAAGAGAGCCACCATTTTTGCTGCTGAGATACCTTAAGCCTTGAGAGCTTATTGATATACTACACTCAACAGTAAAATATAATTCGCTTTCTAAGTTTGCAGTTTCTCTCACTTATATGCTACAATCAATAGTAAAATATAATTCACTTTCTAAGTTTGCAGTTTCTCTCACTAATATGCTACACTCAACAGTAAAATATAATTCACTTTTTAAGTTTTCAATTTCTCTCACTTATATGCTACACTCAACAGTAAAATATAATTCGCTTTCTAAGTTTGCAGTTTCTCTCACTTATATGCTACACTCAACAGTAAAATATAATTTGCTTTCTAAGTTTGCAGTTTCTCTCACTTATATGCTACACTCAACAGTAAAATATAATTCGCTTTCTAAGTTTGCAGTTTCTCTCACTTATATGCTACACTCAACAGTAAAATATAATTCACTTTCTAAGTTTGCAGTTTCTCTCACTTATATGCTACACTTAACAGTAAAATATAATTCACTTTCTAAGTTTGCAGTTTCTCTCACTTATATGCTACACTCAACAGTAAAATATAATTCACTTTCTAAGTTTGCAGTTTCTCTCACTTTTATGCTATACTCAACAGTAAAATATAATTCGCTTTCTAAGTTTGCAGTTTTTCTCACTTATATGCTACACTCAACAGTAAAATATAATTTACTTTCTAAGTTTGCAGTTTCTCTTACTGATATGCTACACTCAACAGTAAAATATAATTCACTTTTTTTAGGTTTGCAATTTCTTTCACTGATATGCTACACTCAACAGTAAAATATAATTCACTTTATAGGTTTTCAGCTTCTCTCACATACACCCCTTTTTTTCAAGCCCTTACCCTTTTCAGACTTCTTTTTTTTAAACTTGTTTACCTTAATTGCTTTTTTTTTACCCTTTTTTTACCTTTAGTTTTTACCTTTACTTTTTTTTAACTTTTGCCCTGCTAACCTTTACTTTTGATTTTCACTGTTTTTACTTTCACTTGTTTACTTTTACTGTTGCCTTTTTACCTCTATTTATTTGGGCCTTTACTTCATTACTTTTTGTTTTTTTTTAACTTTTACTTTACTTCTTAGCAAAGATTTAACTTTCAAATAATATCTACATTCTTAACATGTTCAAGCTAGTCTTCTCAAAAACAAATTCTTACAGAAAAGGCATGCTCCGGAATCCTTGGCAGCGAAGTGTCTAACCTGACCCTGTCTGAAGACTCGACATTTCTGTATTTCATGCGGTGCCAGTATGGAAGAACCTGCGACTTCTTTGAGTTTTTGTCAACATAGACAAGCTTGCCATAAAATGTGGCGATCTCTTTCTGGTCAAGGAGGTTGGTCAGAACTTCTCGAATTGTAAGTGATGTCTGCCCAACATTGATCAGCTCAACTTTAATCTGTGGTTAGAAGATTCAATTTTGTGTGTGTAGATAATGCAAAGCTCAAAACAATGTTTTCCTTAGCAATAAGGCGTAAAAAAATGTATTGCACATTCTATTGCCAAGTTTATTTTGCTTTATCTTGCCAGGTGCAAAACAACAGACTTACACAGGACAAGTAATGAAACACAAGACATGACTTCTTTCAACTGTAATACATAAATTAGATTGTCTATTGCTACCCTGTACATCTTGCCAAAAGAAGTTCAAGATTTACCATGCCCTTACCATAGAAGTCAGAAATTCAGCATAAGATCTTTTTGATTACACAATGAAAAATTGTTTACTTAAATTACCCAAAAATTAAAAAAATTTAAACATTAATTCCTTCAGCCTCAGACAGGTGTTATATTAAACTAATGATTATTTTGGATGAGACAAGTTCAAAGCAATAAGGTAAATGAATTATGTTAAAGAAGCAAATACATGCAACAGGAATCAATGAAGTTCAAAGTATGGAATCAAAATGGTAGTTAATTAACATCTGGATGGGACAAAAAGAATAAAGGAAAAAACTAACTCTCCAGGTCTTTCAACAGCGGTATGAGAGTCACACTATAGAAAAGATCAGGACCTACCATGTAATATCCCCAAATATAGATAGCCAGTCTTTATTGTGGAAATAACCAAACAATTTCATTTAAATAATATTTATGGGACAAAACTGGGAAGCGGCTTTCAAAAAACATCCTAATCTGAACAGTCCATGGTGACAGCACTAGCAATGTGTGGTGGTCACACCTGGCACTGCAGCCAGCAATGTGGGGGCAGCCAGCTCTCCCAGAGGGTGAACAGCCAAACCTAGTAGCCTGTTGATATCCCATGATTACACAAGCCAATCGCACCTTCCCACTGTGCAGACAGACTGGTAATTATCTGTGAGGATACAGACTGAGGGATAAATGGCCACCTGGTGAGGATTGTGCTCCGCCGGGGTTAAAATACTGCCGAAAGGCAAATTGTTGATTACAGTAAAAAGACAGAAAATGCAACAATACAGACATGTAAAAGGATCTAATGGCTTCTCCAAAATGATACTCCAGAGCTCAGTAGAGGGAAAGAGGAGAAGAGACAAACCAGGAAAGACACAGATACAGAATGTGGCTGACTGATGGGCTTTATTTCATTCTTTCAGTCCCAGGTGGTTTAGCATCATTGGGTAGTCAAGAGAGATGTAAAATCAGTGCATCTTATATTCACTGGTTTCCAGGTAGGAACCTATAAACGTATTATACATACCTTCGGACTGAAAGAGTTAAGCAAACAATGAATACAACGCAAATGGCCAACATAGGTGGAGGGAACTGATGAGTCAATAACCAGTGGGAACCAACAACATGAACTGTTAGGGTCTATGATGATGATGATGCTGATGATGGTGTTGAAGATGATGATGATGATAATAATAATGAAGTGTTACAACTTCAAAGTTAGTGGTAAACAAATTGTAAAACTTCTCAAAGATTTATATGAAGTGTTACTTCTTCTTCTTCTTCTTTTGTCATCTCACTGTTACCAGGTTGCAGCCCAGTGTCGTGGTTTTCTGTATTTGTTTTGCACCTCTCAGGTGGCTTGAGTGATGGATTTGTTCAACTTTTTTTAAACCTGCAAAACGTTGAACAAATCCATCACTCAAGCCACCCAAGAAGCGCAAGACAAATACAGAAAACCACATTACTGGGCACCAATGAAGTGTTAAAACTTCTTAAATAGGGTTCTGAAGTATTACAACTTCGTTAATAGTGATAATAATTAGTGAAAGTAAAAATAATTAGCCACCAGACGCTGGAGCTCGTACTAAGGGGAGGATCTGAGCACCTATGGACACGTCCGGTTGGGGTACGAAGTGTATACATTTATTAAATACCACATTAAGAACACTGTATATTCAGACAAAAAGACAATTTCTTGTGACGATCATAGTAAACACAAAACTTTTTTTCTTTTTTTCTACCTTATACGGAAAGTAATGATATCTCCGAGCCACTTCCCACAGGCATGGATCAAAGTAGTAATCTCCCCCTAACACAAAGAAGGTGAAATTGTTTGTGCGAAGACTGTTGAAATCCAGGAAGTTGCCAACAAAGAATGGAACTGTTCTGCCAGCCTCAAACATGCGACAAATCTTCCATGGACTGATTCCTCCTGTCCAGAAAAACATCAAGAGGATACATCAATTCACACAAATAAAAGATAAGTACAGTTAATGTGTTAAAATGAAGATCAGTAAGGTTAACAAGTATTCATAGTGAGAAGTGATAAACAGAACAAAGTAAGGGATTGCTACAGTCCTTTCCAGTAATCCTGACCACTTTAAAAATCTATAAATCAGTAACCATTCAGTATAATTTGTTTCACTTGGTATGAAACCTGTTAATAATCATGTCCTTTGAAGAATTTTTTTTTTTAAAGGAACAAAAATCTAGTTTTCATTTTGCCTTATTTGTGGTATATGAAAAAAAGTTAACCTTTAGGCCAGCGGTTCTCAACCTGCCGGTCACGGCCCCTTTTTTTTGGGTCAAATGACTCTTTCACAGGGGTTGCCTAAGACGATCAAAAACACATATGCATTGATGTTATGAAGGAAAATAATTGTTGGGGGTTGCCACAACATGAGGGAACTGTATTAAAGGGTTGCCACAACATGAGGGAACTGTATTAAAGGGACGCCACAACTTGAGGGAACTGTATTAAAGGGTCGCCACAACATAAGGGAACTGTATTAAAGGGTCACCACAACATGAGGGAACTGTATTAAAGGGTTGCCACAACATGAGGGAACTGTATTAAAGGGTCACCACAACATCAGGGAACTGTATTAAAGGGTCATTAGGAAGGTGTTGAGCCACAGCGCTAGGCTATCAAAATAATCAGGATGCATCGCTGCATGTGCAAACTGATTTCCCAGCAATCTCCACGAATGTATCAATTACTATATATTCTTTTTCTTAGGGGTTACACAAATTATTAGTCACATAAAGAATAAAGAAATTCTCCGCTTTAAGAAAACAGCAGCACCTGTGCAGTTGTAAACTATAAAATCGTTAGGACATGCAAAATCTAAGGCCGCATGCAAAAATTTGTGTTGATCCATACAGGAGTTTTTGAGACATCAGTTAAATTGTGGGGGTATGAGTTGTGAAACGTACTATAGGACTGGGTACATTATGTTCTAACCTTGCACCACAGGGCAGATATGATAGCAGTGAAGATCGTCCTGGGGCACCACAGATTGTCCCAGAAAATGGGGTTCCAGGGAAGTCCGACAGGACAAGCAAGCCAGCAATGGATTTATTATCATTACAGAGAATACAGTGAGATATAAATGGACTGATTCTACAACAGCACAATGTGACTACGGTTAATATGGCCAGAAGAGCCAAAAGCAGAACCTTATACCTCCCTGGACACCCAAAGAGGAAGTGAAGAAAAAGTACAGGTTAAGGATGGTACAGAAACTAACGCAAGACATTCTGCTTTCCCATCGCAAACAGCCGGGATCGAACTCAGCACCAGTTAAGCCACAGATGCTGAATGTTGAAGTACTTGGTTGAATTCCAGCTGTGTGTGATTTGGCAGCACCTTTTGTTCATTCTGACAGGGGTATCAAGAGCCGATGACTCAGAAAGCAATGGCAAACTAATGAAAATAAAATTGCCAAGTAAAACCATAATGGCCAACAAATAGCGAGGTCAGTTCTGCAATATCCTATGAAGTTTGACAATATAAATGTGCTATATGGCTATACGGTTGAGCGGGGTTTCCAGGATTTGTACCTGTGTGATTCTCATCCTTGAGTTGTTAATCCTACAGACTGCAATCTTATGAGGAAAAACATTTTCTCTTCAGGTTATGCCGGTGTGTTGGGAAATGAGCAGGCAGATAGACTGGCCGGTTCTGCACCACTTGGTGGTGAATTGATGTTATGACAAGCTAGATTTCGTGAGGGCCTTCTAGGAGCGAGTAAACAGTGCGGAAGCGCAAATAGATCATTACGATCTAAGGAGAATGGCGCTGCGAGGAGTTACCAGGGTATCTGGCTGATGCTCAACACTCAAGGAACAGGCGAGACAGATGTACAATCAGACAGTTACTGGTGCCATCGGAATTGGAACTCTTCATCTGCTGCTGGAGATAGGGACGGAGTGCTTACAGGAGTGTCCTGAGTGCTATGATGTTGATTCTTAATTCAACATTCAACATGAGGGAAAAACCTTTTAAAAAAAATACAACAAGAATACTACTGACCTGCCCTGTCGAAGTCATCATATGCTATACCAGGAAAGTAGCTCTCTGCTGAGAAGTTTTTCTCATCAATTTCCAAACGATAATCAAGTACTTGAGTCGCCATTGTGTCCCCTGCTAGGCGACTACCTCAGTGCTGTGTACATAGAGGCAAGCATTGTAGAAGATAATCAGAGCCTAAGTGGTCACTAGGACCCTTTTTACAATATTGGTACATGAAATTGTGCTTGAAGCCCATCCCCCCTTCCTACCCAACCCCCCCCCCCCCCCAAACCCCCCACACACCCCTTCCGAAAAATAGGTGCCGGTACTCAGCATGAAATGTCTTAAAACAAAAACAAATAGGTGCTGGCACTCACTGTAAAACTGTAAAGTGTCTCTGACAGTAAATTCTTCTTATTCTTCTTGTGTCATCTCACTGTTACCTGGCTGTAACCCAGTGTCGTGGTTTTTATGTATTTGTCTTGCGCTTCTCAGGTGGCTTAAGTGATTGATTTGTTCAATTTTTTGCAGGTTTCATCTACATCATTGATCCATCTCTTTCTAGGTCTTCCTCTCACCTTCCTCTCAGATGTTCTACTGTACAAAAGTCTCATTTGCAGTCTGGTCTGGCTGCATTCTCACTTTGACAGTGATGCTGAAGGAAAGATGCCTTTAAAAAAAGGTGCTGATAATGAGTACCATTGCAAACCACCCACACAAAAACCTAGCTAGATCTAGACTTGTACAAATCAATTATCTTCAATGGGTGATGAAGTCAATATCACAGAAGTTGCTTTTACTTTCCAAGAAAATCTAGGGTACATATTTTAGGGCGGGTTGACCTGGCAGCCATTGGTCAATTACAATAATCTGCCCTAATGGAGATTCAAACCCCAAGACTTTGGGGTCTAGCCACTGTGCTACAGCAGCTTTCCAAGTAGTCACATTAATATTTAGAAACACAACATTTACATATTTCATAAAAATGTGACAAATATGACATGAAAATCAACATAGACAAAACAGAAGTGATGACATTCTCCAGAAAAAGAATAACCACCAACATCAACCTTGGGAGCTAAGGACAATGTAAGGGGGGAAATCTGCCTCAATACAGATTTCACACTTACTCCTGGAGAACAGCACACGAGTGTCTGAGCTTTTAATGCAACAAATAAAATAGGATTTACAAGACCAGTTCTTCTTCTTGGTGTCCAATTTTGTATGGTCAGATCAGACAGTCAGGTGGGTTGCCTCTCTGAACCTGCAGGTCAGTTGTAGGTCCTCCATGGTTTCCCAGCAGATTGGTTTGCACACATTGCTCTTGAGGCCAGGTTTCTCTTCATAGTTGTAAGTACAGTGTGGGCAGGCCTGCAGAATGTACTTGGGTGTTTCTGGTCTCGACTGAAAGAGAGAGAGAGAGAGAGAGAGAGAGAGAGAGAGAGAGAGAGAGAGAGAGAGAGAGAGAGAGAGAGAGAGAGAGAGAGAGAGAGAGAGAGAACGAACGAACAAACAAACTTTATTTTCAAAGGGTCACAAAGTGGGCACGCAGGCCAGTCTTACAATCGCCCCTTCCAAACACCCGTCTTTCACACTGCAGCTGTATTTTATCAATAAGCATGTTATATTCATATGATAATATGCATATTATGAATATCAAGACATGGAAAACTGCAATGAAGATTGCACAGACAGGAAAGCATGGAATGTCCTCTCTATATTACCAAATAATGGTGCTCTATTATGATGCTTCAGAAGATTCTCTGAAACAAAGTCTAATGCACAAATTAAGTTTATGTTTTACCTAAACACTAACAAGTTTATGTTCATTGTGATTCATGTTGAATATAATTCAATGATTTTTAATTGAGTGCCATGGCGGTAAGTGAAAAATTGGCTATCCTCCAAATAACGGTCCCAAATTATCGAATGTGAAAATATACCCCAACAGGGCATCAGTCACATGTAAATTGCTGACTTCTTTCCGGCAACTATACCGCTACCACCAAGAGTATCTCCCGTGCTGGGACTCAAGAGCAGCAGCTACCGCATCTCCTGCAGCTTCCTTCATTTTATTTGCTCGTGAGTTCCAGCCATCTAGTTTAGCCCCACTCCGCGATGCTATGCGCGGCGCAAGAGATACTCTTGGCGGTGGCGGTATAGTCATTGGAAAGAAGTCCGCAATTTACATGTGACTGAGGCCCTGTTGAGGTTTATTTTGGGATTCGATAATTTGGGACAGTTATTTGGAGAATAGCCAAAAAAATGCTTTATTCCATGTTACTCATTTATGTAAACATACCATCTGTTCATTTACTACTATTTAACTACTAACACAATTATTTGATATATCCAACAATTGTTGGTCACTTTGATGTATGTCGGCTATCTTCTGAATAACAGTCCCAAATTATCTACTCAGAAAATATACCCTAACAGGGCCTCAGTCATGTGTCAATTGTACTGTTTCGTCGTCTTGAAATGTGTGCTTCCGGCGACTTCCACCGCAGCCGAATAGCAAACTTTCGGCAACCTCTGCCACCGCCGAGAGAACCCCCTGGGGCTAAACTAGATGGCTGGGACTCACGAGCAGCAGCTACCGCATTTCCTGCAGCTGCCTTCGTTTTATTTGCTTGTGAGTCCTAGCCATCTAGTTTAGCCCCAATCCACGCCGCATGAGCGGCGTGGGGAGTACTCTCGGCGGTGGTGGAAGGCGCCGGAAGTTTGTAATTTGGCGGCACCGGTATAGTCCCCGGAGGTACGCAATTGACACGTGACTGAGGCCCTGTTAGGGTATATTTTCTGCGTAGATAATTTGGGACCCTTATTGGGAAGATAGCCAATATGTGTATGTTGCATGGCAGCTAAATTCGTATAGTATATTTTAATGTGCTACATTTGTGAAATTAAAAAACTGCATTACCACCCCTCGGGCCTCTGATACTTAACCCCCTGGGACCCAAAGAGTTAACACCCCAAGAATGATATATTAATTACTATTATCCCAAAAAAAAAAATCCAAGACACCATTTAACCAGTGTAAGTTACACTGTAACACACTTAATTAAATGGGATACCCCTTGCGGTTATAAATTAAACTGCATTCTAATCTGTGAAAGGGAAAGAATAAATGGTGGCATGTAAAAATATAAATAGTGCTGACTCAAAATTTGCAGGTTCGAATTCTCTTTCATTTAATGTGAATTATATCCTTTTTACTTTACTGTTTACAGTTTATCACTTTATGTCTAAATGAATCACAGGTCCAAAAAAAATCCCCTGCAGTATTCTAGCACACCGACCACTGTTGAAAAATAAATTATCCATTCAAAGCAACTTACAACAGTAAAATGATTATATATTCCTGAGCTTTCCACCATCTATTTGACTACTGTTTCATCCTAAGTTTATGAACAAGCCACAGCTGTGTCCCTGGTGTTGCAGACGTCTGACATAACGGTCGATAGAAACGTTTAGAGTGACCTCCCCCTCGATTACTTCACAGAGAGCATAGGGAATTAGGGAGGTACGTAGAATACCCTCATCATCCTCTGCACCTTACTGTCAGTAATCTCTTTTTGTCCTGCCGCTGGATCCAGATGGACACAGGCGAGAGAGTGGTGCCGACAACATTGCGCAACTCTCTGTCACCTTAAGCCACTTCATTGCGCAAGTCGTTCATTCATTCTTACTATAGTTCCATGACAGATGAAAGAAGTGGTCTTCAATATTTGTGCTGGACCGATTTTCAGAACCAGCAGCACTTGATTATAGCTTATTTGGCTCAGTCTCGTGAACACTGAAACCCTTCAGCCTTGGGGCCACATACACCTTTAATCTGGTGAGTATGCGGCTTTTCTGCCATCCCCCGGCTCGAACCCGAGATCGGAATGAAATTTTGAAATTTCACAAGTGTAACACAGTAAAATATACTATAAAGTGATGGTATACGTAAGCGATCACGGAGAAGCACAATCAAGTTGTTTTGACTGCGAACAGAGCGCTGCTTAGTTCTGTGAACCACATGCTTCACACATTCCTTATCAGTGTTACCAGCTATAATCGTAGGCGTCCGAGCTCGAAGGTTCAGATAGCCCCCCCCCCCCCCCCTTTTTTTCCAATGATTTTACCAGGTGGGAGTGGGGATTCTGCCTGAAAAGCTGGCGATGAGCTGTGCCTCTCTTTTCCCCAGCCAGTTAACCAACTATAGAAGTTATCTCTCTCTCTCCCTCTCTCTTTCGCTCTCTCTCTGTCTCTCTCTCTCTCTCTCTCTCTCTCTCTCTATCTTTCTCTCTCTTTCTCTCTCTCTCTCTCTCTTTTACAGTACTTGTTCATTTAATATTTGAAAATTGTTATTATATTTGTTATATGAGATACAAAGATAAGTGATATTGTATATTTGTGTAGTATTGTCTAATCTATGAATGTGCCGAAGAAGGCTCCATAGCCGCAACGTTCACGTTTTGTTGTGTTTGTTATATTCTAAAGCTCGCTGATATACGTTTCGTTAGGTTTTATATCTTTCCATGATATTATATTTGTTACCCTTTCAGCACATAATAATATTGTGTATTACTACTGCTAATATAAACAAGACTTTAATCTCTTTGAAGCCCATTCACGTCCCCTAAAAAATACAAGAGGCTTCAGCAACATCCCCCTCCCACCCCCGCTTCAAATACCGTTAGGCCCTCGATGATTTTTTTAGGGGGGGGGGTGTCTGTATGTCTGTTTGTATGTATGGTGGCATTCCCTGGCTGTTATGTTACCACAATCGTGATCACTGCATAATAACTGGACATTTCTATGCGAAGGTAGTCCAGGGCTGCCGAAATTGGTACTTTCGTAAAAATTTGACACGGCCGAGTAAAATTGTACTTTTGTTACCACACCCCATGTTTTTGGTACTTTTTTTTTTTTTTTTTTTTTTGTTTTTTTTTTGTACATTATTTTTTTTTCAAAAAAAAACATTATTTTTCAAAAATTGTAACAATAAATACATCGCTGAGGTCCGAATAATGTCCCCAGGACATTAAATGTAGCCATTAGAAGCCGCCAGAGCAGCTGTGTAACAAACTGAGAAAAAACAAATTGGTACAGTAATCGTGTAACGGAAAAAGAATT